GGGGGCGGCACTCGCCTGCGCTGGGTAATTGGCGCCGCCAGCAGCTAGAATGATGGTAGTTGATGCACACGGTCCCTGGGCTCCTCCCATGTGACACTCCTGCAGCATCCCAGGGGACTTCCTGGAGGGATTCCGCTCAGACTGCCTCCAACATAGCTGGCTGGGAAACACATCCATCACTGGCTACCGTCCCTTCCTTTCCCTTCCTCACTCCCACCTCTTGGTGTCTCAGGGTCACCAAACTAAGACAGTGTGCTCAGGGAGGTATCTCAGGGGAGAAGTGAGGTGATGGCAGAGGATAACACAGAGTCAGAGCAGCAGTGAAACATTCTAGGGTCTCGGCAGACGGAACCACCGGGGCAAAGGCCCGGGGTAGGAACAGTCTTGGGAGAACTGAGGAAAACCCAGTGTGGCCGGCAGTGGTGAGCCAAGCAAATGGGGGAGCTGAGTCCCCAGTGTGCAGCTGGATTCAGGTTTCCTGATGACGCAAGAACAGAGACACCCAGAGAGCTCTGACGGGTGGCAGCCAAGCCCAGGTTACCAGTGCTCACGCATCCTTTTGAAATTCTGTCCCCGTCCCCCTGCCTGGGCTGGTGGCAACCACACTGATATACAGACACTGGGAGGTAAAACTCATGCCTTATTTACTAGCCAATTCCTTTTCTGCACTCCAAATTCAATCCAAAAGCGACTCAATTTCCACCGAGCTGTCAATATAATATACCGCGCTCCCCTGCTCTCCTAACCTTTCCTGGTATTACAGGATCCTCACTTACTTGTAATGAAACACTATGAATAAATCAATGTATGTTAATATAGCGTGCCTTCAATTTTTTATGAAGGGCTTCACCAAATCTAATTCCCACTGCTTTGTCAGAAATAGTCTCTAAAAAATTTAACTTGCAAGTTTTACGAAGTTAGTGGGGGGATGGACTGGGTAAGGAAAGCCAGAAGGTGAGAAAAATGGAATGGGATGGAGCTTGTGGCCGTAAAATGTGTAATGTAACGTGAATCTTTGGAAGCAGAGGAAGCGCAAGATTTGTTAGAATGGCAAACATAAAATAAAAAGTTTGTGGGGGAAAGGGTGCTGAGCTGCCTGTCAACCTGAGTCTCTTTTGATTGCTGTCAGTGAGATTCCTGGCCAGAAGCCAGAATGAGCACTTTGTAAGGAGAATCCAGTCACATTACCCCTTAGTATCAGAAAAGCAGTGGTCCCCCATTGCTCTTGGGATTAAGAGCAAGTCCTTATGCTGTGGTTTTCATCAGCTCTCTGCATGAGCTGGCCTCCCCTCCCCTCCCTCCTGCATTCCAAGACTCTATTTCAATATCTGAAAAGAACTGCAGTCTCTTTGGCCACAGGACCCTTGCACCAACTATTCTGTCAGCTCAGAACACTTTTTCCCTTCCCATGCCTCCCTTTCACCCAATTAATGACTCCTTATCCTTACATCACACTTAAAATGATGTTTTAACAAACATGGTTACCAGAGGGGTGAGGGTGGGGGAATGGGTGAAACAGGGGAAGGGGATTATGAGTATATTTATCATGATAAGCACTGAGTAATGTATAGAACTGCTGAATAACTGGGGCATCTGAGTGGCTCAGTTGGTTAAGTAGATAACTTTGGCTCAGGTCATGATCTCATGGTCCATGAGTTCAAGCCCCACATTGCACTCTATGCTGACAGCTCAGAGCCTAGAGCCTGCTTTGGATTCTGTCTCCCTCTCTCTCTGCCCCACTCCTGCTTGTAGTACTCTGTCTCTCTCCCTCTCTGAAATAAACATTAAAAAAAAAGAATTGCTGAATAACTACATTGTACAGCTGAACCTATAATACCATAACATATAATACTGCATGTTAACTCTACTGAAATTAAAAAATAAATAAATTAAAGGCACCCTCCCCCCAATGTCACTTTTCATGAGTGCCTCCTCTGACTCTCCAGTCCACCTACTTTATGTTCCCCCAAATAACATCTCCCTCCTTTGAACAACTAATTTTACACTTAACCATGCAATTGTTTCACTCAATGTTTCACTAGCCCAAGAGTTGAAAAAGTAAAGCCAGAAAGCCAAATGGGTCTCATCATCTGTTTCGGTAAGTAAAAGTGGATCGGAGCACAGCCACACCACTTGTTTATGTATCACCTCCAGCTGCTTATCCACTACCAGGGTGGGACTTGAGTCATTGTGGCAGAGGGCCTATGGCTCACACTCTCTAAAATATTCACTCTCCAGTGCTTTATAGAAAGAGTCTGCTGAACCTTGTAGTAGATTCTAAGCTCCAAAATGGCAAGGATCTGAGGCAGATTTTGTTCCACACTTCCTCCCCTTGCACGCATGAATGAATGATCAAACTAGCTGGGTGGCTTGAGCAATTTGCTTAACTTCCCTGAGGCTAGGGGTTCTTCAAGGGTTAAATCATAATCTTAACTTCAGTTTCCGTTTTATATTGCAGAGAGACCCCTGCTTCTTTACTCCTGGAAAGCAGCCCCTCTGCTCAGAAGTAAGGCTCCAGGGGGTCCACGAATGACTTCTCTTGCCTTTGCATCAAGGCTCTGGCTACAGCACACCAGAGGAACAAGCAGCCCTTCTACCCTGGGCTACAGAGGATGGGGCAAGAGAGGCAGGAGGAACAGAAGCAATGATTTTCC